ATTTCAATTGAGTGTCTTTATTTGAACGAAACTTGTGTTACAATATGAATTGAGTATCTTCATTTGAATGAAATTTGTGTTTTTGTGGCATGTGTAAAAACATGACATTCTGGGTCTATTTTAAGAAATGATATTTTATACCCTATTCGAGAACGACTACTATAGTCTCTAAAATCATTATACTTAGTATTGATATTTGACTTTTAGGATGTCACACAACCCAGACATTTGTCAGGAGCAATAAATGTCCCTGCAAAAACAAGTTGCTTTTTTTTTTGTGCCACAACATATTTGTCATGGTACCAGAGGAAGTAGGCTAGTATAACCGTTTAGTCACATATGTATTGAACTTAGTAGGATTATAGGTCACAGATATTATTAACACATTAAGAATTGATTTAAACCTTGATTTTGACTGTTTTCATGTTCCAGGTGCAGATTCGATAGTTTAGATATTTTTAACATATCAAATATCTGTCTGTCCATTGTTTTGCTATTTGAAGGTTGATCTCTGATTGTGTATTAAACTTGATACCAGGACTGGGATCGGCAAAGTCCAACTCAAGTTATCACAGAAATATGTGGGTTTGTGACAATACTTTCAGGAACTTTTCTTCTGCACAGAACTAAGGATATGGTGACTGATGGTATGTGGAAATTTCACACGACTTAAATTTCCTTCTCTCGGGTTTGCAATGCACTTCTGGTTGTAAGGTCTTGCCATGTTAAAACATGATTATTAATATTATCTTCTTTTACATGTTTACAAGGTTCATCTATTACTAAACTTAATAAGCACTCAGAAGAAGATGTGTTTGATGACGTTGAAGGGATTCCCCTTAGAAGGCAAGATTCCATGAGAGCAGCGCCATGATATATTCTTTGCTTCACATGTTGAATATCTCAAGAGCTTCAGGTGTTGGGGAGGGGCTTTACCTAGTGTTTCATGTATTTTACCGATTATTTCCCTCCCCATAATATTTTTTCCTGATACAGTTTGGAGTGGATGGATGAGAGCTTTCTGATCTTGTCTTGTACACTTCTCTACACTCCATACTGAAGACAAACACCAATGTAATTTTCTGCACGCTGAACATATATAGTGTACCCCAGTTAAATGAACGTATTGACCATCAAGTTTTGAACTGGACAGCGTAGCAATGTTTTTATCAGTACCTTTCAATGTAACTCACCCTATTCCTCTCCGCACTTGTCAGAGAAAAATATGGAAGTTATGATATGTAGATTAACATTCATCACCGGCCATACTTTGACGATGAGCATGTTTTATAACTTAAATCATTTGGAAAAGTCAGTTCGGTTGAACTTGTGACACGGATTATGCTTCCATCTGAGTATTCAATGCTGATTCTAGATTCAATATCATTTATTTTCATATTTTACAAGTTATCGTGCCCATATCATGGGAAACTGTATGAACTAAATTATTTGAAAATTGAAATTGAATAATAAAATAATTATAGATGAGAATACTAAAGATTTGACCTTTTCTTTTAGACTGGTTATGGGATATGGGACGAGTGCATGTAAAACTTCACAATAAATAGTTCATAGTATAAATGTTTAACATGACAAAATAATAAGTAAAATAAGTTTGGTTAAAGTGATTTTTTTTGGTACGAGTTATATATGGTCCTTTCAAGTAACAATTAGTTCGGTTAGTTTATGGACAAATTTATGATTTTAAACTCGTGAATAAGAGAATTTGACTCGTTAAAAATAAATTATAAATATTATTTTTGTGGATGTAGTTTAATATTTTTTTGTGTTGGATTTATAAGTGTTTTAGTTCATTCAAATGTTTTACGAGAATTTAATTCTAGTATTAAAAATAAAACAACGTGAAGGTTAGTCTAACTAATGGAATTTTAATTATATTATATCATATATTTTTAAAATTATGCTCACCCTTGAATTTATTTGGATAAACTATTATTTAATCAAATAATGGTATTCAATGTCACATCATTTTTTTTCTTTTATTTTTATTTTAAAATAAAAAATAAAAATAAATATACACTAAAGGTATCAATATCAGTATCCAAGAATTTACCATTTTATAATTCAATGATTAAATGCTAACCAATCTATTTGTCATCGAATTTGGTTAGTTTGAACTTCATAGGTTCGAATTTGATAAAAAAAAATCAAATATAAATCTTTTTAATAATAATTTGATTGATTTTAAGAGTTTTAAAGTGTTTGTCACAACTTTAAAAAGAAATGAAAATCTAAAAATGAATTTAAAAACTGAATGAATTAAGAAATTATTTTAAAATTTATTTTAATAAATATTTTCTTAAATAAAAATAGATTTTATTAACAAATAAATACAAATACTTTATTTTTTATCAATCTTAAAGTAGAATATCTAAACTATTAAATATAATTTTTTAATTATAAAACTTGTTACAAACAACCTAAGAATAAAAACATATTTTTTTAAAAATTATACAATAATAATACATATACAAAAGTGTTAAAAACAAATTAAAATCATTCGATATTAAATTTGTAAAATCTAATGTTAGAAAGAAAAACTCCATCAAAGTATTTCATATTAAAATATGGTAAAAAATGTGATATATTAGATCATGATGTATTTTTTGTGTATATAGTAATATTTATGCACAAAATAAAATTTAATTAATTGATAATTATTTTAACATTATTTTATTAAATTTTTTTTTTACTACATTTATAACTAAAATAATTCTATCTATCTATCTATCTATATATATATATATATATATATATATATATATATATATATATATATATATATATATATATATATATATATATATATATATATATATATATATATATATATATATATATATATATATATATATATATATATATATATATATATATATATATATATATATATATATATATATATATATATATATATATATATATATATATATATATATATATATATATATATATATATATATATATATATAATTTACTCTCTTTATAACAAAATCTTCATGTTTTTCTCTACAGGTCAAAACCACCTAAATCTATTTTCACAATCTTATTTAGTATAGACGACACTCCAACACTCTCTATAATATTTTTCACTTTTACTCCAATTCTGCCTAGTTGTACGCCCCTTTTATTTTTCCATCATTTTATATTACAAACCCAAAATATTTAAACCATCTAATTTGATAGATGGTATGATCTCCAACTTTCACCTCTACGTTATAAATACTTCTTCTTTTGCTGAACTTAGATTCCATATATTCCATCTTACTTCTAATTAAGCGAAAACCATACATTTCTAAAACTCGTCTCCAAGTCTCCAACCTCTCATTTAAATCCTCATTCAACTATTCAAATAAGACTATATCATCCGCAAAAAACATGTATCTCGATGCTAACTCTGTGAATACATCCAAAATTAAGGTAAAAAGGTAGGGGCTTAAGGTTGAACCTTAATGCAAACATATTGCACAGGAGAAATCGTCTGTCTCTCAATCTTGTGTCAACACACTAATCAACACCTCTTCACACATATCTTGGATAGCTTGAATATATGCAATCTTATCCTTTTTCTTCCCTATGACTTTCCACAAAATTTCTCTAAGCACTCTATTATGTGCAAATCTTGTTGATCCATCTGATACTGCTCTACCAAATTGATTCTTAGTGACTTGTCTTTTTTCATAATCTTTGTGCATTCACTCTTTCCTATTACTTCATGGTATGATTCATAAATTTAGCCCCCTATAATTTGTACAAATTTGTATATCACATTATTCTTATAGATTGGAACTAAAGTGTTTCTTCTTCGTTCATTAGATATTCGCTATACTAAGATCCTAAGCCAATGAAAACTCAATGATGGATTTATCCTCCATATTCACCTCCCCTAGACCATACCATGATTCACGCTCTAAAAATATTTTGCTACGCTATCTACATGTCAATTTAGACCCCCTCTTAGAAAAAGTTTTCTTCTTATAGTATATCTTGTAGTAAACATTCTAAATCCTTCTAAAATTTTATCTGAAGGTGTTATGCTAACCCAACCTGAGGTGCATAACCACTAATAAACTAAATGTGTCTTGTTCCATTACAAATTTCAAGACCGTAATTCAATCTCTTACTCTTTTTATATCCAGAATGTCATTATTCCACTTCTTGTCCATAATAATCCCCACCCCATTTTTTGATCTGTCTTATCTAATGTACCAAAGCTTAAATTTCGAGTTGTCTAATTCTTTCGCTTTTTCATCTGTCTACTTAATTTCCTTTAGGCACGTAAAATTAATCTTCCTCCTAACTATAGTGTTAAACTATTTCCATAGATTTTTCAGCAAGCATGTCTATATTTTATGATTCAAAATTAATCTTACTCTCATAAACTAACTTCATTATCCATATCAGTTCCGAAAATATGGAAAACCTTTACTTATTTTTCAATGCATCCAGGTGGTAATACAACATCCCTTACTCTTTTGATATTGTACTCGAGTCAAATAACGCGCGCTGCTTACGGACATGACCTAATATTTACATTATTTTATAGTTAACTATATCATAGAAATTCGACAAAATTTTACGTTAGTTGTCGATTGTCTAACACAATCCTCTTCTTTTATCCAGATTTGACACTGACTAGGCATATTAAAGTTAATCCAAACAAGATTATTAAAAATTAATAAAACATATATATATATATATATATATATATATATATATATATATATATATATATATATATATATATATATATATATATATATATATATATATATATATATATATATATATATATATATATATATATATATATATATATTTTTTTTTTTTTAATTTGAAATCATGGAAAAGCAAACTTAAAATTTTCTTTTCAATTTCAAAAACATAAGTTAAAATTGGAAAGCAAAATATCTTTTATTTTTTTTGTTTAAATAACTAATAAATAGAAAACAATCTTAAAAACAGTCTTGTTAAATTGGACTAGCAAGCAAGTATATTAATTTTAAAACCTAAAACTAACCGTGTAACCGTGTTTGAGAGGATAATCAAAAAAGCCCTCAAACTCCTCTCTCCCCATTCCCATATCTTTAACACCACAAGATGCTAACATCCAGCAACATTTAACATTTTCCATTTTTCAGTTTTTTTCCCACCACTAATATTCGGTCCATTGAATTAATAAATCCAGTTATGCAGTTTAGGGTCATTCTGGCATCAAATGATTTTAACCCTTTTAATGGCAGAAAATTAAAGCATATTCTCCTATCAAATCCAACGTCAATCACCACTAAAACTTAACATTTTCGTTTAGCACCACCAATGAGCCTACTTGCTTTATTTGCCAAGTACCTCACCAGCTGCTATTTTTCATTCTACTTCCAACTCTACCTCTCTTTTAACAGGCAATTCCTCACCATATTGGATCCGATATTCTGCACCACAGACCATATCACTTTATCCCTTAATTTTGACTGAATCTTGAACCTTTTTGACACTGTGCATCCAAATTTCTCCTTAACCTACTTCATGTTACAAACCTAACCAAATCCCTTTCTTCTCAACCCACCTTCACTAATTCAAATCTAAAAACCCTAATTCAATCATCATTTGTCAGAAACCTAAAGATAAATCTAAAAACATTGGCCATTTTATCATCATCTAAACATAACAAAAAAGCACCGTTAATTGACAAAAACTGAAATAATACAATAGTATATCTTAACAATACAATTCAGAATCCAATAAAAGAGACTAACATCACCAACACAGAAACATTAACAAAAGGTACCCAATCAATCAGAAGGAGTGGGAGGCAGAGGAGTAAGATCAACCGTCGATGCATCAGCGGGAATAACAATCGTAAAATCAGGAGGCAGTGGAGGCAACGGAGCATACACGGTCGGCTTCCGATTCTTATCGGACAATTGTGATTTTCTCGGCCTCGTCTTCATGTGATGTGCAGTTGATTTCTTCTGTGGCCTCGATGAGCACTCAATCAACAATCCTCCACACACATTTCTTCTTTCAGTTCGAATTGCTTTGTTTCTCAGTGAATTTGGCGCCATCGATACACCACACCCAAATATGCTTGACACTGACGCCATTTTTTCTATCTCCTTTCTCTGCTCTCTTGCGGTTTCTCGTTTCTCAGACTCTTATCCCTATCGTTTTATCTCATTTATCTCATGGATTTGTATAATTCCCAAATTAACCTTTTATATTATGCAAGGCCCAACAGTAAAGAATTAAATGTATTTTTTAACCGATAGAAAAGGTTAAAACCTTTGATATCAAATTAATTAAGAATGCCTAGTACAAATTAGTAAGTATATTATTTTTAATTTGGGTTAAATATACATCATCTCTATCATATGAGTGAATTGTTTTTTATATGAAGATTGTTTAGGTTGGAATTATATTAATTAGAGTGGGAATTAGAAAGATTTATTGACAATTAATGGGCAATAAATGAACACAAGTAAGAACTAATATAGAAGTGAATTTGAAAAGATTCATTTTAGTCCCACATTGAAGGGAATGAAAATATTAGTAGTGTTTATATATTTCAACTTGGTCAATTGGGTTGGGCCCTAAAGGGCACCCAATTTTGTGAAAGGAGTGAGTACACACCCACGACCAACAAGAGACACGCGCGCGTCACCGGTTCGGTTCGGTGATTTTAGACTGCCATACTGACTAGATCCAGTCCTCCACGATTCCCTTAATTCTCTTCATCTAAATTCAGTAGTGAGTACATCGGATTTCACAAGTTCACACGAATTTTGGTTTCCTTCTTCTCTCCCTTAATTCTCTTCATCTAAAATCTTTCTTTTTTTGTTTTTCTGACTGGTTATTTTTCGTCAGATACTAACTTAGAAAGGTGTATTTCTAGAGCGATTTATCAGTGTGTAACTGATAATCGTAAGTTTTTTGAACGAGCTGTTTTATCCTGGAGGCGTCGTCGTAAATCGACTGCTTTGCATAATTTGGCAGTACGGCGAAACATCTTAAAGAAAGCGACCTAGTACGCGACTCGTCCCGATAATTTCCTTGTGCCAAACTCAATTTTTCAAATCCGAAAACAACAATTTTAAGACGTTTTAATAACTGTCATGGCAACTGAGGAAATCATCGGTACTACTGCGGCCGCTTCGGTCTCTGACAAACCTTTCAGGTTTGAGGGTTCCAATTTCAAACGTTGGCAAGCTAAGATGAAGTTTTTCTTAACTCTGAAAAAGGTTGCCCACGTTCTGACTGAGGATATCCCGGTTGTCCCTTCTGCATCATCTGAACTACCTAATGGTAACTCACTTGCAGATTCAGACGGGATTTCCAAAACGCCTGACTCAAATGCTGCAAAAGCTAAGGCTGCAGCAGATGATCTACAGCTCCGAAAAGAAATCGCCTTATGGTACGAGAATGATTATCTGTGCAAAAATCACATTCTGAACAGCCTTGCTGATGATCTGTACGACTACTACAGTAGCTACAGGACTGCTAAACAGGTATGGGAGGCTCTGCAAAGAAAATATGATACTGAAGAAGCAGGTGCGAAGAAATTTGCTGTCAGCCGCTACTTGAACTACAAGATGGTGGATGAGAAGTCGGTGGAAGCTCAAAGCCACGAAATTCAGAAGATTGCTCATTAGATTATTACAGAAGGTATGCCCCTCAATGAACAATTTCAAATTGCTGTAATTATTGACAAACTGGCCCCTGGTTGGAAAGATTTCAAAAATGTGCTTCGTCACAAAACAAAAGAATTTTCAATCGAGAGTCTGATAACTCGCCTCCGAATTGAAGAGGAGGCTCGGAAACAAGATCAGAAAGAAGAAGTCTTAGTTGTGTCTAACAACAAAAAGAAATTCGGTGCGGTTCTGAAGCTTATGGGCAAACCTTTAAAGAATCAGAACCACAATGCTATGAACCGAACTAAGAATGGGAATCCCTCTAGGGCCCCATCGGCTCCATTTGCTAAGCAACAACCACCACCTCAAAGAAATGATGCTCCGGTTTTCTCTTGCTACAACTGTGAAAAACCGGGCCATATGGCAAAGAAATGTAGGAGCAGGCCTAAACCTGCAGCTGGCTCAAATGCTCAGGTCAACCTGACTGATGAGCAACTCATTGCCATGATCACTGAAATCAACATGGTTGGTGGAAGTGATGGTTGGTGGATAGACACTGGCGTCACTCGTCATGTCTGCTATGATCGTGCTATGTTCAAGACATACATGAATGCTGAAGATAAGAAAGTGTTGTTGGGAGATGCTCACACCACTAATGTTGCTGGAATTGGAGATGTTGAGCTGAAGTTCACTTCAGGAAAGACTTTGATCTTGAAGGACGTCATGCATGTTCCTGAAATTAGGAAGAATCTTGTTTCTGGTTTTCTTTTGAATAAGGTTGGGTTTAGTCAAACTTTAGGGGCAGATTTGTACACCATCACTAAGAATGGTATTTTTGTTGGAAAAGGGTACGCCACTGATGGCATGTTTAAGTTGAATGTTGATTTGAATAAAATTTCGCCTTCTGTTTACTCTTTGTGTGACTTTAATATTTGGCATGGTAGACTTTGTCACGTTAATAAACGAATCATTTCTAATGCAAGCAACATAGGCCTAATCCCTAAACTAAATGTTAATGATTCCAATAAATGTGAATTTTGCAGTCAAGCTAAAATAACAAAAACTTCACATAAATCAATTATAAAAGAATCTGACCCCCTAGATCTTATACACTCTGATATGTGTGAATTAGATGAAAGTTTAACTAGAAATAATAAACGTTATTTTATCACTTTTATTGACGATTGCTCTGATTATACTTATGTATATTTAATGAAGAATAAAAGTGAAGCGCTTGACATGTTTAAGGTGTATGTAACTGAAATTGAGAATCAATTTAACAAGAAGATTAAGAGACTTCACAGTGATAGGGGAACCGAATATGACTCTAGCTTGTTTAATGATTTTTATGCTGAACATGGTATTATACATGAAACGACTGCTCCATACTCTCCTGAAATGAATGGTAAAGTAGAAAGAAAGAATATGACTCTTACTGAACTTGTAGTTGCAATCATGTTAAATTCTGGTGCTGCACCTCACTGGTGGGGGGAAATTTTATTGACTGTTTGCTATGTCCTGAATAAAGTTCCCAAGTCAAAAAGTAAGATCTCACCTTATGAGATATTAAAGAAAAGACAACCAAATTTATCTTATTTGAGAACTTGGGGCTGTTTGGCTTATGTCAGAATTCCGGATCCGAAACGAGTTAAACTCGCTAGTAGAGCCTATGAATGCGTATTCATTGGGTATGCAGCAAACAGTAAGGCATACATGTTTTGTGACCTAAATGCCAGAGTAATTATAGAATCAAACGATGTTGAATTCTATGAAGACAAATTTCCTGTCAAATCGAGAAATAATGGGGGCACACAATCGAGTCACATTCCTGTGATAAAAGGCACTGAAAGCAGCGACAATGTAGAAACATAACTTCGAAGAAGTAAAAGAGCAAGAGTTGCTAAAGACTATGGGCCCGATTATGCGGCCTATAATGTAGAAGAAGATCCAATAAATCTCAAGAAGCACTGTCATTTATGGATGCAGACTTATGGCAAGAAGCCATTAATGATGAGATAGATTCTCTAGAATCTAACAAGACCTGGCACTTAGTAGACTTACCCCGGGTTGCAAACCAATTGGTTGCAAATGGGTTTTGAAAAAGAAACTAAAACCTGATGGAACGATTGAGAAATACAAGGCTCGCCTTGTAGCCAAGGGTTTTAGACAAATAGAAAATATAGATTTCTTCGACACCTTTTCTCCGGTCACTAGAATTACATCCATTAGGGTACTCATTTCAATAGCAGTCATTTATAACTTAATAGTACACCAAATGGATGTTAAAACAACTTTTTTAAACGGTGACTTAGAAGAAGAAATCTATATGGAACAATCAGAAGGGTTTGTAATCCAAGGGCAAGAAAGCAAGGTCTGTAAGTTAGATAAGTCTCTGTATGGACTAAAACAAGCCCCTAAACAATGACATGAAAAGTTTGATAACTTAATGATAATTAATGGGTACAAAGTGAATGAAAGTGACAAGTGCGTTTATTACAAATCTGAGAATCGCATTTGTACTATCATATGTCTATATGTAGACGATCTACTTATATTTGGATCAAACGTTCAGGCCATTAATGATATGAAATCATTGCTGTGCAATAACTTTGATATGAAAGACCTCGGAGAGGCAAGCGTGATCATGGGTATCAAGATCACGAGATACGACCAAGGAATTTCTTTGGATCAATCTCACTATATGGAGAAGATCTTAAAGAAATATAAATACTTTGATTGTATACCTGCATGCACTCTGTATGATCCAAGTGTGAAACTGTTTAAGAACACTGGAGAAAGTGTCAAACAAGCAGAATATGCGAGCATCATTGGCAGTCTTAGGTATGCCACTGATTGTACTAGACCCGACATTGCATATGTCGTAGGATTGTTGTGCAGATTTACAAGTAGGCTGAGTAACGAACATTGGCAAGCTATTGAGCGAGTAATGAGGTACCTTAAAAGGACTATGGACCTCGGCCTACACTATCAGAAATTTCCTGCTGTACTAGAAGGGTATAGTGATGCAGATTGGAACACCTTATCAGATGATTCCAAAGCTACTAGTGGTTATATATTTAGTATAGCCGGAGGAGCTGTATCTTGGGAATCAAAGAAACAAACCATTCTGGCACAGTCCACAATGGAGTCTGAGATGATAGCATTAGCTACAGCTAGTGAAGAAGCAAGTTGGTTAAGATGCTTGCTAGCTGAGATTCCTTTATGGGAAAAACCTATACCAGCTGTGTTGATCCACTGCGATAGTACCGCGACTATTGCAAAAGTTGAGAACCGTTATTATAATGGTAAAAGACGTCAAATTAGAAGAAAACATAGCACTGTTAGAGATTGTATCTCTAAAGGAGCTGTGAGAGTGGATCATGTACGCACTGATGAGAACTTAGCAGATCCTTTGACGAAAGGATTAGCTAGAGAGAAAGTCCATAATACTTCCAAAAAGATGGGACTAATGCCTA